GTCTTCTAATAACAATATTCAGCAGCTTCATGTGCAGCTGGTTTTGAGCACCTCAACACTTGGAGCTACTTTAAAGTTTCTAAAGTTCAGATAAATGGATCTTCTAAGTAGGAGTCTAAAAACACCTGGACTTTTTTCTTCTGCTCAGGCAAATGGACAGTGACAGTGGAATCGGCAATTGCGGCGCAGGGGGAGGGGACTTTGGTAGTGATAATAATCAATTTGGTGGCATGACTGTGGAGAGCTGCAATGGCCTTTGAGAGGAATCGGAATACTTTTTTCTGAGTTGCTAAACAAACAAACAAACGAATCCATTACTTTGAAATAATATCATATTGCTCAGCATTAGAGAAGCAAGGCATCTTCGTTTTACTGTCTGTTTTTATCATCCGTTGTGCCACTGTTAAAAAGCAATAGTTTTATAAGCTGTAGGAGCCAATCTGCTGTTGTCTGTCTGTATATTGCTGAAAACTTTACATAGTCTGACAGAGAAAATTGCCCTTTGCATTCACTGTTGGCAGAGGAAACAAGCTGAAAGTATGTCCAGTTCTTATAAAACACTGACAACCTCACAATGCACCAAGCAATAAAAAGAATAGATTTTCTATCCTCTGCTTAAAGTGGTAGAATAAAAGGGAGCTGGAAGAAAAGGGGAAACTTTTCTAAGGGCCATGTACGCATCAGAGTTAAACTGGGTCACTCTGCAATGCAACGTAGATTTTTACCGCATATAAATTTAGCAGCTTTCTTTGGCATTAGGTGTGTGCCAGCAGCATTTTTCTGTTATCTCAAGTTCAGAGCAGGTCCATTGAGGTACTATGAAATTTGAGCCAGGTATCATAAATTGTAGTAGTTAGAATAGAAACTGTTGTCAATTATAAAAGACATGTTGGTTGATGTTGCACCTAGAGTAAGACTGGGGAAATGTTAACTGAATCTGAAATTGGATAGATGCAAGTAGTTTTCCTGCTTGTTTTTCAAATGCATGACTGAGCACTCTCTCCTTAGCTGCATGTTAAAAAATAAAACAAAAAAATGCTTGCGAAGGCAAGGGATTCAAGCATCTTTTTCTGGAAGACTAATGAACATTAAGTTCTCTTTCAGGAGCTTCACAGATATGTATTTCCACTGGAAAATCAGGGATTTGTGCGCAGTTAGGAACAAACTTTCACAAGAGATGTGTCGCTGCCTCTGAAAACAGGAGCCTCAGTCACATTCCTGCCTTCTCTCTTCCCTGCTAACAATACCTCACCATACTGTGTGCTTTGCCACCCTGCTTCACTTCCTTGGTTGCTGCTTGGGGAGAGGGGCTGTCCCACATATGTTTTTTACTAGTTATTTGAAATATGCTCGGAGTCGAGAGTGGTCATGCTTTTTATTCAGCTCATAGTGGTGAGGAGGAATGGAAATTCCCCCAAAATGTCTGCTTTATATACATTATTTACACAATGGGCCCCACGTGATTGGTTAATTCCGGGATTCTCCTGTAGGCCAATCAGGTTTCAGATTCACTTCCACCTGGAGCTGGATTGGGTGGCTCCTGTGGACCAATCAGGCTGCTGCATTCCGAATCCTATTGTTCTAGGACCAATCAGACTGCTGCATTCTGAATCCTATTGTTCTAGGACCAATCAGACTGCTGCATTTTGGATCCTAGTCAACTCAGTACATAACATTATTGCAGAGGGGAGGAGGAGTTGATTTGGGGTTGCTGCTGTCAAATTCATGCCATACATTTAAAGCACATGGCTCCCCCCCAGAGAATCCTGGGAACTGTATCTCCCATCTCACAGAGCTACAATTGCCAGCATAGGTGCCAACTCCGTGGGGCCCTGGAGCACCCACAAAATTCCCCATGAAGAAGCCGGGCACCCACAAATTTTGGTGCCAGGGCCCTGCACGCTGCATGGGTACCCATGGCCCCGGGCACCCAAGTCATGGGGCCAAGCTGGTACTCCTGATTCTGAGCATAGTTCCCAGGATTCATGTGGTGAAGTCATATGCTTTTAATGTGCATTAGATGCGCTTTTAATATATGGTGTGGATCTGTAGGCTGGCGGCTGCCTGTCTTACCTAGCATTTAGTTCCGGTCTGATGAGCGCTCCAGGAATTGCACTTGGAGAGATCCCAATTTGATAATTAAATTCAGAGTGCTTACCTCAACTGTAAGTCATCAGCCAGTGACTAAATACACAAATGCATGTTTTGACACGATACTACAGCTATGTTGCAGCCTCTGCTTTTAAGTGTGTGCTCCTTTTCATATTGTTTCGTCATTCCCCTTCAGACCCCATTTGATACCAAAACAGGAATGTGGTGAATGTGCCAGTGTGGTTTAGGTGTTGGACTAGGACCTGCGAGACCACGGTTCAAATCAGGCATGGAGCTCACTGTGTGGTCTTGGGTCAGTTCCCTTCTCTCTCTTAGCCTAGCCTACCACACAAGCCTGTGGTGATGATAAAGTGAGAGCGACAACCATGGATATCATCTTGAGTTCCTTGGAAGAGAGGTGGGATATAAATGCTAAAATAATATTAATATTAATAATAATAATTTTTAACCCAAATGAATATCAACTCACCAAAAATCTGGAAAAAATACAGCAATCCTGTTCCAAAGCAGATCTTAACATGAATTTCCATGTGCAAGCTCACTGCTGAATTTTCTTTCTCAGAGGCAAGGTTCAGGTTGGTTTCTATGCTATTTAAAACTCCACAATTTTCCTCTTTGACTGAAACTGTGTTTCTTCAGAGCTTCCCATTCAGAATTGCTTCAGAGTCAAGTAGAAGCTCTTTATCGCATGATCTCTTGTTTGCAATTCAGCAGGATGCTGGCTTAATTACAGAATGTGATGGTGGCTGAGTTTACAGCCCACCAGATGGTTATGTCAGTTGTTAAAAGTGCAAGATCCCCACCCATCCACTGGAATGTTGTTACAGCTCTCCTACGCTGGATTGGCATTAGTTAAGATGGCTGCTTTGTTTAGCAGTGAATGAAGTTAAGGAAAGATGGTGAGGTTTGCTGCACTTTTGTAGATGCCAAATGTGCAACAATATGGAGGATGCCATAGGTTGTGTGGTTTCAGCTCCCTTAGGAAAGCTGGAATTTAGATGAAGCTGCTTGGAAAAATTTGCAACACAGTGGCAAGGTGCATAATAAAGGTTAAAGGCATAGCCTGTATTGCCAGTACAATTTGCAAAAGGTGGCTTCTTGTAAAGGACAAGGCAATTTAGACCTGGTGCTGGACTTACCGCACTAGACAGCCTATTCCCTTTTAAAATGTGTTGTTTTTATTTTGATTATGTATTTTGTGGTTTTATATTCTGATTTTATTCTGGGAACCACCTTGAGACCTGTGGGTGTAGGGCGGTATATAAATTCAATAAATTAATAAAATAATAGAAAAGTGAAAATTAAATCATGTGTACAAGTGGAAGCATGAAATCTGAAAACATAGCACTGTAGGAAGTCCTGCATGACCATTTGTGGGAAGACCATTTGCCTTCCATTCATGGTTTTATTTTGTTAACTCCCTGCTTTTTCTGCATTGTGTTTCTCTTCTCCTACTTCCTAGATTTAATGCTGGCTTTTTCTTTGTTATCATGAAAGTCAAAACCTGCTCAGATATTGCATGATGGGCTATAATTTAATATGGTATTTAACCTTTTAAATGTGCTTATCCTTTTGTCTTTTTTTTTGTCTACCGCTAAGTCATTTCACAGTTGAGTTGCGGTAGTCAGCAAATGAACCCATTCACAATATCCACATGGATATCACTGAAATAAAACCAGCTATGAATATCAACCAGCTACTTCTTCTTCTGTCTTCATAAAACCTTCTATATTGGGGTGATGCACAGGGATGCAAGATTTAGGCTGGGTTCTCTGCACGGCGTTGTGACTCTTGTCTATTTCTCAACTACTCCCCATGCTTGTCGAGACAATAAGCTCTTCTGTGCAATGCCTTCTTTCATTGTAAGTCCTCTCATATTTGCATAGATGGCATTATGTCAACATTATACACAAAAGTGTATATAAAAACTCACCTCTGGGATCCCCACTCTTGTATGCTAACAGTGTTAGCATACAAATCCTACATATTTCTGTTCAGAAGTAAATCTTGCTGAGTGAAATAGGACTTAACTTTCAAGTGGGTATAGCTTTGCAGCCTGAAAAACTAAAACCAAAGTAGGGCTGTGCATTAGTAAGTGGCTTAGTGACCAGGGACTCTCACTGAATTCTGTGCAGCAAAACAAATAGGCTACAAATGGCAACAATATTGGGAGATAAATTGGGTTCATTGGGTACAGATTTAGCTCACATTCCAATAAAATTATTGGGAACACATCCTTTAATTTTTTTAATCCTTTAATTTTGCTTCCAGGGCATTTTGAGATATATTTTCAACAAACATGGAAGGTACTGCGCCAAACAGCTAGAAACTATTTTTAAAAAAGAAAAGAAAATTAATGCAGCCCTTTGAACACCTTGCAAAACTGTAGGTAGTTGACCAGTGTTCTGGAGGTACATGCATTAGACTTATTGCAGAAGTCTAATGCATGTACCTCCATCCTCATCCATGCACTGGTGTGGACGGTGCAAACCAGGGATACTGGCTCCAAATTGTGGCACAGACATAATTCTTTCTCACTGTTCATGGGCCCTTTTTTGCATTGAGATGGAGAAATGAACTTGCTTGGAAAAAATATGGGTTTGTTCCCACTGATAATAGTATAAGGTCAGTGGCAGAGAAATAGAGAGACAGATTAAGAGTGAATCAAATAATGAAATCCAAGCTTCAATTGTACTCCAATTTAAGCTGTAAAAAAATCACCAATTGGAGACTATCCTCAAGGTTGTATATAGAGGAAATCCAGCAAGAGAAATATATGTAACTTGGCCTTTTACATATAGTCATATTGCTACCGCAGGGGAGATTACCTTTATTGTAAACCATCTTGGAAGTAAATTAAGAAATTGTCCAGTAGCATCTTAGAGACCAATTAAGTTTGTTCTGGGTATAAGCTTTCATGCGCATGCACACTTCTTCAAATACAAAGTTGATCTGAAGAAGTGTGCATGTACATGAAAGCTTATACCCAGAAGAAACTTGGTCTCTAATTTTTGGGACAATTTTTAATTTTTATTTATTTATTTCAACCGCGTCAGACCAACACAGCTACCTACCTGCACCTTGGAAATATTTTATATTGAAAGGAGAGGTATGAGTCAAGAATAAAATCAAATATTCTTTTACATTTTCTTTATTTATATTTTTTTTAGTTTAAGAATTACACACTAGCCAACATTATTATATATTTACATGCTGAAACTGGCTGTAGTAAGTTTAGATTCAAGAAAATATCTCTTATGTGCTACTCAATTTACAATCATCATTTGACTACCTCCATGATCCCAGAGGTTAGCAGTCCTTTTGAGAAAAACATGAAAATCTGATGCAATGATATCCACTAGTATTTTGCATTTTCTAGCCATTGGAAAATGTGCATTATGTGCATATTAGAAAGGCTACAAGGTCATTAGTAAGGCTGATGATTACTACATTATGAAGTAAATAGTACTAAGTAAAAAAAAAGAGAGAGAGAGAGAGAGAGAGAGAGAGAGAGAAGAACGGTGCAAAGACAGTACTAACAGAACCATTTAAACACCCATGCAAATTAAAATGTGAAAACTCAAAACATAGTCATCTTGATAGAATTTTTGGATGTTTTAAATGCCCGTGTTAACTAACTCAAACTGTACAATGAACCTTAAATATATTTCCGGGTGAAATTTTCTATAAATGGCATTAACAATGAAAACATATAAAATGCTGATAAACTTGAATTAGATAACTTTTAGAGATGTGTGAAGCATTAAGAAAATAATTTAAACTAACTCTCCAACTAATATCAAACTGCAGCTAAGGTTGCCACCATTTCAAAATAATAGTAATAACAAATTCATCATCAGAGCACTTACAGAAATAATTTGACGCATAAGGTATGTGTTGTATATAACCTGCAAAGATAACGAATTCCAATGTATCAATTAATTAAAATGGATAGAGATGCTATCTGTATAAGCTAAAATATGGTAGTGATTAATTAACATTCCATTTATTCCTCAAAAATTCAGACAAATGTTTCCTAGTGCATTTTGTTAAACTTTACCTTTGGTGTTAAGCAGTGTCTTGATAGTGTTCCCTTTAAATAAATTTCTAAAGTAAAGATTCTTTGGCATGGGGGGGCTGGAGTAGGGCTAGGTTGGTAAGGAAGAGACTACTATACACTGACAAATATGCCTTTCTGAAGACATTTACCTTCATGAAACAATGTCTAGAGGCCTGACCTTCATTTATACTCAAGGGGAATGATGCAAAGAGCATGTGGGGTTCTGATATGCACATGGAACTCTAAATGTGCACGACCCTGCTTTGGTGTTTGGTACGGAGGCACCAGGCCCATGGTAAACTCATTGGTAGAGGACGATCACACAGGCACAGTTCTTCTGTTCTAAGCCCACGTACTATAGCATGCATTGTCCGTCTGCATTGCCCATTGTGTAGACCGCTTGCCTTTTAATTCTCCCATAACTGGAAATAAGAGCTTTGCTCCTCTGTCATGATGGCAAAAAGCCACTATGTTCTAAAAGGTAGAGAATTTTTAAAGGAGCCCATCATAACACACAGGTCAGGTCTCCTCTCTCTACCCATAGGTATGCTCAGTCAACTACATAATCTCATGTTGCCTGGGGTCTACTTTATAGCATGCTGATTAGCCCAAGGGTTAACTCAGAGCTGCCCATTAAAATGGAGTTGTACCAGCCCTATTCTCTCAAGATCATAGCTTTAGTGCAAGTGAACATCAAAGCACATCTTTCTGTTGCTGTGTCTACAAAATTCGGCTATGGATCTCCAATCTTAGAAGGAGCACTGCGCCAGCAGTTACTGCCCAGTCTCTTTAGTGTTGAGAAAGCTGAAATATCAATCACTCAATATGTGCAGGTATTTACGAGATGCTAATGCGAATAGGGCATGCGCACATGTACATCAGAGCCACTGGATGGGGTTGCTAACTGAAAACTCTCAGTCGCTTGATTTCTCTCTGCATTGTGTCAATGATCCAGCTAATGGTCTGTGCATTGACTGTTATAAAGTTGCACTTCCCACAGATTTGTGTGTTAAAATTCTTTTCTGGAATCCAAGTCTTATGCAAAAGGGTGTTTAAATTATTCTGCTAGAGAACTGCAAATATTGTACTTGGTATTTTTAAAAAAATCACTGAACAATTACTGTTTCTATTGACTGCTCATTTACAGCTTATTTAAATATTTACATGATTTTAGGACACTAACCTAAATCATAAATAGAATCAGCTTTTTGCCTTACATTAAGTACAAATTAGAAGTTAAAAATGTTAAGAAATCTGATAATATTTACACATGTTCGGTTTTAATTATGATTGCTCACTTTGTATGTTCTATGTACAGATAGCAAAATGTTATGACCACTACTTTAAAAGTATTGTACCCTGGCCTTCCTTTTCGCTTTTTTCCATATAAATATTTTGTATTTTTTCAGCTCATTCTAGGTATTAGGACTTTTTTTTTTAAGTTACTAGTGGACAATGTTTTTATTTTAAAAAAAGAGAAGAAACAGGCAAGCAATGTGAGAGCTAGTCTACTTTGAGATGCTAGGAGGTACAGTACTATCATAATGTCAAACTGTGAAATGCTTCGTAAGAATTATATGCATTGATCTGCTGATATAGAAATGCCCAGTTACCCTGTATAGTAAGATTTTAATTACATTAATAATTTGCTTTCTCAAAAAAATATTCACATATCATTTGAATATAGAAAGAAAACTGTTATTAGCTTATTCCTTTAAAACACCTATGTAAGAGTCTAGCCCAAATCCAGACAACCACAAGAGCTACAGGAGGGAGGATGCTTGCCTGCATACCAAAAAAGAAAGAACGAAAGAAAGAAAGAAAAGAAAAGATAGGGCTCAGCAGCACTGTCTTAGTCTCAGCCCGGATCATCCACCAGGAAGGCAAGAGCAGGCAGTGCTTGCTTTTGACTCTGTGAGCCCTCTTCTCCTTTCCCATAACTGACTGGCAGTATAAGCATCTCACCCCCTTCAGTACAGATCATCTCTTAAGAGGGGGGCAGGAGCATCAAGACAGAGTCCATGTGACCTTTTGCTTACTCCTCATTCCTGTTTCCTTCTCACTGTGCGGATGTGATATAATGGGAGAAACCACGATCCCACAACTCTGCTGGGGTTACAAACAGTTTGATAGATCTTGGAATTTCACCTCCCCGCCCCCCAAATTCCTTTTGGCAACCTTCCTGCACCTCAATAAAGCAGATCTGTGGGCAGAAACCCATTTCCATGTGGGTCGCTCTCACTGGATTAGGATGTCTGTGTGCATATAGCCCGTATATTACACGCACACACACACACAGAGGAATATATATACACATATTGGCATACATGTCTATATATTCGTTGTTTGCTTGGATAATGTTTAGTGTTTTGTTTCGTTTGCTTACATTAACTTTGCTAACTATGAAATTGGAACACAGTTTCAGGTTTGCTTTTTGTTTGTTTTTTTTAAAAAACATTATTTCAGTTGCACTGTTAATGTACATATTACCTTAACTTAAATGGGCTTTGTTCCCCAGATATATCTATACTGTATATCTATCTATATATGCACTTACTCTCATGTTCTCTATGCATTGTGCTTTTGTGTCTGGCAGATTCTAAGTCCCATCCCACCCCCATATTAGAATATAAAAATTCTCAGATGTTTCCTTCAGTGCTATTATTCAAGACTTTTGTTTCCCCCTGGGGATGCTAACAGAAAATGTTCAGAATGACATTGCTTGGTTCTTTCTTCCCAGTCATTAAAACTGCAATAATATAGAAACATAACATTCCTTAGGCAAACACAAATATGCTGCATGATTCTTTTAGTTTGGAAAATGCATATTAGACTTACTAGCAGTCATATACAGAACATATTTACAGAGCATTGATTGCAAAGATATTGTTAAAACTGTGCCGTATTATATAGTAATTTTGCCATAAATTTCACAAAGATGAAGAGAAAACACCTTAATTGCTGGCTAGTATGCATCCTGAAACCTGAAAAGATGGAGTGATTATTATGTGTAAATATAGACCAAACAAAACTGTGAGAGAGTATATTTTAGCTCAATTCAAAGGTAACCATGTATTTAAGTTTGCTTTATGCAACGATATTATGGTCCCCCACTTTTTAAAAGCTCAATCTAGTCTGTACACCTGTACACAGTATTTAGAATTAATTAGCTCAGAAACAGGGTAGTCTGTCTATTCCTGGAAGCATCTTTTCCTTAATAACAAAAAGGACCTCATGGAGGTGATTGTTTACTTGCTTTGTTATCCCTGTGGGTAGAATTTCATCCTCTCATTGGCAAGGTCAGATAATATTATGGCTTGTACTATAAACTTCCAGATATCTTAAAGTGCAGTACTAGGAGCTGATTTTGTAGTTTTTATTATAGCTGACCTGTTGAACCAATGTGAGAAAAAAAGGTATTTTCTTTGAAGGCCTATAAATCCCATGCATTAATTACAAGGCCAATATTTTTCACACTCCTTAAACTTCATTTCTTAAAATAATAATGGGTGTTTGTACAAAGAAAATGAAAATCAGAAGAAACCATGAATACAGCATAGCTCAGCTGTCACAAAAGATGTCCTAAGCAAGGGTTGTTTAAAACATGACTAGTCCAGTTGTGGATGACATCAAAAGACAGATGATGCCCTGACTTGTGAAGTGTACTCAGCCCCAATGCACATGGAAAAACATGAGTCATGTGATCAGTATTTTTTACAAATACATCATGATGTTCGAAATTCTCAACAATCATGTATGAACACTGGGTGCTCAGTTACCCCAGTTTTAAAATTCTTTACAGAGGAAATGCTCAAACACTCATAGTGCTACTATAAAGTCAAATGGAGAAGATACACCAATAAATAAACAAACTCTGCAGAACTGACTGGAAGATTCAACAATACTTAGTGGATTTAACTTTTTGCCTTTATTTTGTCCCACCG